GGTTTCAGAAAATAGGGTTTAGGGTTTAGGGTTTAGGGTTTCCGAAAATAGGGGACCCTAATATAGTACCCTAAATAGTAGGATCCTTACTATAAGGACCCCAAAATAAGGTACCCCTTATTTTCAGAAACTCCCACTTGGGATCCGTTCAGAGTTTGACATGTTTTCTACTGCCAGGCTCTAGGAGTCTGTGGTTTCACAAGCGGCTGGGTTTAACAGCCCTGCGAAAGCTGTTCCCGGATAGGGTTCCTTATCGAGTCTGTGCTTCTACGAAACTGCCAGACGGGTCTTGAATTTAGGGTTATAGGAACCCCAAACCCTAAACTTAAACCCTAAACCCTAAACCCCCTAATAAGGATTTAGGGTTCTTGAAGGGAGCATAGGGAGCACACAAAGAGAACAGGCCGCATCTGCAAGGCATCTGCTTGGAGAAGGGGCTTAGGATTTTAGGACTTTAGGGTTTAGGGTTGAGGGTTTATATAGGGGTTTAGGGTTCAGGGTTTAGGGTTTAGGGTTCAGGGTTCAGGGTTTAGGGTTTAGGGTTCAGGGGATGGCTGCTGACCTTGAAGACGTCTTATGAACAGACAAGCGCACAAGTTGTTGCAGGTGAGCGGGGTATGGGGGGGTACAATATAAAAAGCGGCATCTTAGGTTCAGATCATAGGGCTCAAGGGTGGAGATTATACGGTTGATGATATAAATTCTGCACTACCCATAAAAAGGGACGTACCATAAATCCCATAGTATAGGGTCCTTAGGGTAATGCAGGATTTATATCATCAACAGTAGTTCCTGGGGTGAGTGAGGTATAAGTGAGCCCAGCATGCAGCTGTTGTGGCCTCCATGCAGGCAGGCCACGTCATAGCTACCGCGCCAAATGTTGACCTTCTCCTTACCATACCTTGGCTTACATACTTTCTCCCTACAGCCTCAACGGGTGAAAAGCGAAAGGGGGCAAGAGGACTCTTGTACAGCTGTTCTGCGGCGAACTGATCCCTCGGCAAGGTGCTAAAAGCAGCAACACGGCGAGCACAAAGTGATAAACTTACAGCGGTATGAGCCCGATATGACCAGACGACCGCACTTCAATCTCAGAGATCACTCGCTCAGGAATCTTGAAGCCTATACCGCCGACGAAGTACTAACAAGGCCCACTTTAAGCTCAAAATCATAAACCTTGAACGCTAAATCATAAATCCTAAACCCGAAAATATTAAACCGGAAACCCCAAACCGCCATAACCTTGCAGGAATCAGGAGCCCCAAAGCTTCCTGCACCAAAACTCGTAAAGCCCAGCTACCTTCCTGGAAGAAAGCTTACGGCCTAGGGCCTAGGGTTTAAGACTTAGGGTTTAGGGGTTTGGGGTTTAAGACTTAGGGTT